TAACGTGACTCTCTCCCGACGAGTCCAAGCATCACTGGCAGTAGTGGCTGGAGTTCCTTTCTATAAGTTTCACATTGCTGTGCTGCTTCACGGTTGTTGTTCACGGTTGAAAGAATTTTGCTGGTTGTACAAAGTTTACAACGGATGACAACGTTCTTTGCATTTTAGACTGTGACACAATAATGGTGATACTTACAGCTGTGGAAACAACGCCTTTCTCCCTCGTTCTCCATTCTTCCCATAGCTTTTTGGCTAACAGCTTACCTCAACAACAGTGGCGCATTCACGTCAAGTATGGTTCGTTATCTGGATTAGTTGACTGTAATAATATTACTGTATTGGAAAAGTAATCTGTTACACTACTAGTTACTGGGAAAAATAATAACTGTTTCTGGCTAAATTCCAGGGATTCCTGCAGAGCCTGAAACTTTTTGTGGAGGACTTCCACCAGAAATAAGTGGGCATCAAAGCTGGACAGTTTCTTGTCTATTGAGTCCAGGATGTCTGCAAACTTACTGCCCTGAGTGGAGACTGCTCCAGGTGAGTCTTCAGTGTGGTTTCTCTTGGGCTTCCCCATGACCACTCTGTGAAAACACTGGTCAGTTTAAACTTCAAGGTCCTCCAAACACTCGTCTTATAGGTCCTCCAGAGCGATGAGACTGTTTTGATTGGTATTCCTTTAACTTTGGCTTAAATTGGCAGATTGTCCGATTAATAAAATGTTTGTACAGCTGTGCACCTCCGTGTTTGAATTGCACAAAGTCCCACGAGATTACATGCTCACCTTGTCAACTCATCTCTCACAGTCTCTCCTCCTGCTCCTTCACCGTAACAACCATCTAGCAACTTGCCATTTCTTTAATGATTGATGGAACAAAATCTGTTTGATTTGATGGGAATCACCACAATAAGTCGGGTTAGGTATGGATCTAGACATACGCTCATTTGCAAACTGAAAGTCTGAAAAGTACAAATCAGTTTTGTGGGCTTCTTCAGTGTGCAATAGTGAATAATTTTCAGGGTTGAGACTTTTCAGCTTATCACCAACAATAAATCAACTCATCACCCGCAGATGCATCAAGCGGCTATTTTTCGTATTGGATTTGATTTATGGATGTACAAAAAATGAACAATCAAAGGGATAAGAACACTTACTTCCATCATGGTCTCATTACACAGTTAAGACCTTGATCAAAACATAATGATCAACTAGACTACAAATATCAGGCTGTCATTTGTCAGACTAAAATGCAAATCATCTACAGGCTGTTACAAGAAAAGAAACTGAATGTCTGGTGGTCACATTAAAGGGGAAGTCAAAGAGAAAATTTCAATGTGCACAGCAAATTTCACACCAATGTGGCCATGATATGTGGAGACTGCACTTTATAAAAGGGTTTGTTCAGGATTTTTTCAGACTGTATAGCCGCTTTTCCATTACCAGTACCAGCTCAACTCGCTTTAGGACTCGACTCGGTTTAGCCGTGCTCTGTTTTCCATTGCAGATAGTACCTAGAGATAGTACCCCTCAATGTAGCTGGTGGTCATAGCGACACACAGACACCGGCAACCCACACACAAGCTGTGACTTGATTTAAGTTAAAATGTTTCAACATTACTCAGAATGTATTGACAGAGTTTTCCTCTGCCGTTGTTGCTGCAGCGGTCTCTGTGACAGTGGGACCAGAGGGTTCAGGTGGCTGGCCGGCCTCGTGAGCTCCCCCCGCAGGTTGGTGCAGAGCTCCTCAACTCCGAAAACTTTCAAGCACATTTTTGTTCCACCATCACTTTTTGTAAAACTGTCAATATCTGAAATCTACACAGTTGATTTCTCACCTCAAAACTTCTCAGAAGTGGATTTAGTGATGACAGTGGCCTCTGTCAGGCGCGCGCAATGATGATGCAGTGAATAGTGATGATTCTCTCTGACCAATCAGTAGTCTGCTGTGTTTTCACGTCATATTTTAGTGTCGCCTCAGCTTGCTTGGAACCTCAACGGAGGTGATACGAAAAAAAGTACCTGGAAGCAGGTACAGGTACAACTTTTCCACAATGGAAAACTAAACAATGGTGAGTTGAGGCAAGCTGGTACTGTGCAGTGGAAAAGGGGCATATGAGGTATATGAGGTACTTATCATGTTTAGTGTATTACCTGCAGTAAATGGCCGTGGGTCAGCAGCAAAACGTGTTTAAAGACCTAAAACAATTAGAATTTTCAGCACTATACCTTGCGTCAGAGATTTATTTCATTTATAATGTGCAGCTAAGTTATGCTTACGGGTAGCTTGTAGAACATTGAAGTTCTACAGTTGAGAAAATGTATTTCCAAATTAAATGGCTATCTAATGGCAAGGTAAGGGGCTACGGAGGGGTTTTAACACCTTTAAGACTAACATAGTTAGCCAGCTAGCTAACGCTACAAAGGTAACGTAGCTAATGCTACTACTAAGGCTGGGCACATTAACACGTTACATCTGCACCCTGTGTTTAATGTTGCTTTACGTTACCTTGTCAGTGCTTGTAAAAATCCACTGTGACTTGTAACGTCATTTCAAGTCAACCGAGTGAAGTCTGTGCGATTGAACACACCGTACCCCGCTATCACCCCCCCCCCCCCTTTCAGAGTTTTATCATTATCAGAGTATATAAACAACACGCTGACATCTAATTCGGCAAACGAACCGTTACAGTTCTGAGATATGACATTGGGTTTACGATATTGAGACGAGATGAGATTTGAATACTATTTTTAAGAAATCATCAATACTGAATTATTGGAAAATTCAGAGCATTAAACACTTATAATGCAGTGCAGTTAAATGTGCATGTGGTATTTTTGCACCTCAATAATAAATTAATTCATTTTAATTCACTTATAAACTCCTGGACTATAATAACTCCGGTGTTTCAGCAGTTTTCTACTCCCACATGTGTGTATTCTCTGACATGTCCAGAAAAAAGTAATATTACGAGACTAACGTCATCATTTATTGAGAATTTTTTTTGTTGCCTTGCCCAATATTCTGCTGTGCATTACGTTCTTGCTCTGCTGATCCCCTTCAGACATTTGGCCGATGCAGTTTGGGACGGCATGTTGCATGTGAAAGTGAAACTAACCGACAACACGTCAAATCTCGCCACAATTCTACACAGCTCTAATAAAGTGCAGCTCACAGTCTCAAACAGTGCAAGGTTTTGCCTCAGTTTTTTGATGATTATATTGCAAAACTTTCACAGCTACGTTACCACTCTGTAACAAGCTGGCTGCAACTCACCCCACGAGAAGTTCACTCGATTACTATTGCAGCGCCCTCTTGTGTCCATTAGCTGGGCAAAGTTGATATTGTAGACTCCGTGTGGTGCTCACAAGTCTCTGAGCTAGAGTCCAAGTCAAGACTCAAGTCACTCGTGGTTATAATGAATGTTTTATCACCTGATACGTCCAAACCAGGCTGCTCATAACTTTGCAGATGTTTTTCACTTACAGTGCACAACTGTGTTATGCAATTAATGACAGCTTTAACTACTGTAAGTCAACACATCCCCCAGACTCTCAAACCAGTGTAATGTTAACTAAATAAAACTGTAACGTTACATGATCAACAACAAACCTGTAACCTGTTTCACGCCAGCGTTAATAATTAACATGATGGCAGCGAGCAGGACGTAAATGATAACGTTAATCAATCACCACAAGTTTGGCAAGCAAACAAACACTCATTCATCTTTTCATAAAGAACGACAGTTGGAGTTAACTTCCAGTAGGTCATAGCTAAAGCAAGACCAAGCTGGCATTAGATGGCCAAGGCTGAGCTAAACATGTTCTCTAACCTCAGGTTACTAACCTATTTTGCATTCAGCACTTCTTTGTTTGGGTCTTGTTGTATGAAGTTTTAAAGCCAAAGTTTATGATGAATGGCACAGCAGCTGCCAGTGTCTCACATGTGGCCGTGGGTTAGGTTACAGGTAATGTAGGGAGGGGAATAACAGCTAGCTCATCAGACATTTCCTAAAAATTATTCACGAGTCCGGCACCGAGTTCGACTCAAGTCTGAAGTCTTTTGAGTTAGAGTCTCAAGTCAAGTCTGAAGTCACTGTGTGTGCAATTTAAGTCGGATTCGAGTCCGAGTCTTAAACTCGAGTCCCCATCTCTAACGTAGACTATGTTACGTTATTTGTTTTTTACTGCGTGTGAAAAATGTCAATTGCTCAAGTCTCATGAGACACCTTTAAAAGTTGAGTGTGTAAGATTTAGGGGCATCTAGCGGTAATGTTGCGAATCGCAACCAAGTGTCTAGTCTACTGCTCCCATCCCCCCTTTCAAAGAGCGTAGAATAGCTATGGTGGCTTACACAGGACAAAAGATGTCCTCATCTGAGACAGCAGCAAAAATAAGGGGTGCTGAAATAGATCTCAGTCATGGCAGCGACAGGTACACACATTTTCACTTTCTCTTTAGTAGTTTAAAAGGCACATGAAGGTTTTTTGCAGCAATGCTTTATTTCAAGTTGAATTGAAAGCTTTTACTTTGAAAAATTCCAACATTAAACAGGCTGTAGGCTGTGAGTCTGTGGCCTGCTTGACACATCTTTGAAATAACGGTCGGAGAACATGTTTCCCCTAAATGTCCTCTGCCTGAAAATACTGGGGAAATGAAAAAGCGTCCGTAGGTTAATGGATGCGGATCAAATGCCGGAACACACACACACTGATACACATGCTTTATTGTGAGAACATAGTGACAAAACGCGCTCTGTGTCGCAGTTTGTCTGTTTGGGCTACTGTAGAAACATAGCGGTGCAACATGACAACATCCATGTAAGAGAGGCCCACAGTTATGCAGATAGAAATGGCTCATTCTAAGGTAATAAAAAATTATGTAAGGTCTTTATACACCACTGAAAACATATTATATTGCATTTTTGTTAATAGATCCTGAGAAATATTACACACTGAACATTTGATGAATGTGAGGATATAATTATTTAATTTTACAGTACCTATGAAAGCAATGAGGCAGCAGAGCAGGGACAAAAGGATGGCAGAGACAGCAGCCATCTTCGTCATTTTCAGCTGAAAAGAAGAACAGCTGTTTTCCATTACCAGGGTCATTTCCTCCTTAGATCCACACCTCCTTTGTGTGTGTTCACATTTATGGTTTTTAAAGGAAGTGATCCAAGAGACTCTACCTACTTTTGACTTTAGAGAACAAGCAAAGCTAAAGTTATATTTAGAGCACATACAGAGAAGTGAAATTCTTATTGTACTTTTATTGCTTCCCAATTATTGAATCCCAATACAAACGCCAAACAATTACGTTTTTTAAGGTGCACAACAACTAATGTTAGACTTAGAAAATTTGAAAAATTGACATTAGTTGGGAACCACTTCCTCTTGTACTGTACAGTATCTCACAAAAGTGAGTACACCCCTCACATTTTTGTAAATATTTGATTATATCTTTTCATGTGACGACACTGAAGAAATGACACTTGCTGCTACATGTAAAGTAGTGAGTGTACAGCTTGTTTAACATTGTATTTTTGCTGTCCCCTCAAAATAACAATTCATACAGCCATTAAAGAGGTGGTATTATGCTTTTTGGCCTTTTCCCTCTCCTTTATTGAGTTATATACCTTTTTCATGCATGTAATGGGTTTGCAAAGTGAAGAAGCCCCAAGTCCAGCTCAAAGGGAGTTCCCATCTCCCACAGAAAACTCTGCTCTGAACTGCCTGAAAACAGCTCATTTGTAGTCCAGCCGTTTCCCTTTCATCCCTATGACGACACAGGGATGAAAGCTAAATGCGTGTTGTGCCCTGTTTGCTTCTCACTGACCCACCCTTCTCAGCTTCTGATTGGCTAGTAGTCCTTAACTAGGAACTGCGCATGCGCAACTCATCATTTAGAGACAAGATGTATCTCTCCACAGCTAAAACGAAGCATTCAGCACAGGGTGAAAAGAGGAGCTGCTGCAATGTGCAGTATGAAAAGATATATGGTGTTTTTTGAAAATGAAACCATGTAAACCTATTTTGGTACAACCCCTAAATAAGATTTTGAACCTGAAAATGAGCATAATACCACCTCATTAATGTTTAAAATGCTGGCAACAAAAGTGAGTACACTCCTAAGTGAAAATGTCCTGTCTCTGACAAATAAGGAAGTGCAATTTTAATTTCAGAAGAACAAATTTGCTGTGTTTTATCATCACCTCTCATTTTGTTTTGGTTTGTTTTTAGGTATATTTCCCAATTTGAAATGGACTTTTATAAACATACACCTGGTGCTACATCTCTAATCCATCTGGAAGATTAAAAATCTTACCTTGCAGGGTTTGACTAGATGAAAGGTCAGAACACCATCAGCGCCAAACGACTTCTCACTCTAACTGATATTTTGCCTAAACAATTTGTATAGATAGGTTGTGTGCCCTCTCTTGAGTGCCTGTTACACCACTATGAATGCAGGGGAAATGTGTAGAACATATTTAGCTTGAGGTAAAGTCAGCTTGTGGTTATGGTTGTAGTTCACAGTCTCTGAGCCATCATGAGCCTACAACAGCTCTGTACCTCACAAAGCTATTTTTAGTCATTTATTTTAGATGTAATCATTGCTCTTGGATGATGTACATTTAGAGAAACTCTAGGAGATGACATTACATAGATCTGATCTAGCTAACAGTGCAAAATAAAGTAAAACAAGTTGCAACAGAGATATTTTAGCTGTGAAGCAGGAATGTGACCAGTTCCACGTGTCCAATTAATAAAGTCTGCATCCTGAAAAACAATTTAGTGAGTTGAGATGAATAGCATAGAACATAAGATAGGACTTTATGCTGACGATGTCATGACATTTCTCAAGCACCCAGATGTATCACTCCCTACTCTGATGACGCTACTAAAAGAATATGGTCAGTTATCGGGATATAAAATTAATATTTCTAAAACACAGATACTAGCATTTAATTATTCACCCTCAACAACAGTCCGGGATTCATTTAATCTCGATTGGAAATTAAAGAAAATAAAATACTTAGGAGTTAATATCACTAAAAGGCTTATCTAAATTATATGAAGCAAACTATAACAAGATAAATCAGGAGATACAAAAAGACACTGAAAGATGGTATACTCTGCCACTAGATTTTACCTCACGAATTGAGGTAGTTAAAATGAACCTATTACCTAGGTTGCTCTATCTAGTCCACTCCTTACCTATAGAAGTCCCCAAAACACAATTTCTAGCATGGGACAGATTCATTTCAAGGTTCATTTGGGGGGGGGTAAAAAACCTAGAGTGAGGTGCGAAACTCTCCAGCTAGCAAAAGATGAAGGAGGCTTAGCCCTCCCTAACTTGAAGGAATACTTTAATGCTGCCCAGCTAAGATATACTGTATGTTGGTGTAAACCAGAGTACACAGCAAAGTGGAAGGATATAGATAGAAAGTTTGCAGAATCTCCAATCCAGACTATTATTGGAGATGAAGAAACATATAAAAGAATCAAAAACCAGCTGGATGCAATTACATTATTTAATCTGGAACTATTGTTTGGAATTATTAAAAAACATAGGATAAAGAAAGACATATCTACTAAAATGGATAGCATTTGACATTAACTTCAAGCCATCTGGCTATGACAAGGGTTTTAAACAGTGGGTGACCAAGGGAATGACGTTAGAGAAGGATGGGGAACTGGAGTCTTTTCAGAATATAAAGGACAAATACGCACTAGGCAAAAATGAATTCTATAGGTACTTACAACTAAGGGACTATTATAAGAAAGAAATAAGAAGAGACTCCTCCATCGAAGTAAACAATGTGATTCAAATTATGATTGATTCGTATAAATATACCAAAATTAGAATTATATCCACACTATACCAAGCATTGACGGCAAATAAGCATTCAACTAAATATGTAAAAGAAAAATGGGAAAAATAACTTAACACAAACATTTTAGATAACGATTGGCAAAATATTTGGAAAATACATCAAACATCCACCAGTTCACGGACATGGAGGGAATTCTCTTGGAAGAATTTGATTAGATATTTTATTACACCCAAGGTTGAGAGTAAATACTCAAAGATAAACCTATATTCTGGAAATGTCAAAAAATTTTATTACATGTAAAAATTGATACATGAAGCTATACAGAAAATACTGGGATATGATTTGCATGGTACTCCATTTTTGTGACTTCACCGAGGGAAATGTTCAGAAGAAGGACAGGTCCGTCCATCCATCTATTGTCAACTGCTTATCCTGCGTACGGGGGGCTGGAGCCAATCCCAGCTGACGTCGGGCAAGAGAAACACCAATTAACCTAGCATGCATGTCTTTGGACTGAGAGGAAGCTGGAGTACCCAGAGAGAACCCACACGGACAAACCGGGGTTTGAACCCACAACCTTCTTGCTGTGAAGTGACAGTGCTTACCACTGCACCACCGCACTGCCCAGAAGGACAGGTATTTGCTTAAAATATTGCTAATAGCTAGCAAAAAAGCTATAACCAATAAATGGCGGAAGATAGAACCTCCTACTCAAGAACAATGGACAGAGATAGTAGAGTAATCTACATAATGGAAAAACTGATATATCGTTTGAAACTGCAAGAGACACAACTGGTTGGAAAATGGCGGAAGTGGATGTTGTTCAATACCTAAAACAGCGATAAGGAACATCTAACATGACGGGAACTGCCAGAATAAACTGACCATCGAAAATACAACTCCCAACCGCATTTTCTTCTTTATTTGTTTTCCACACAGGTCACCCACCTGTGTAATCCTCATAACACAAACAATGTCTATAAACAATGTAGATATAGCAGTAGGTCTATTAAAAGATAAAACCGTTTTATTGTAAGAAATCCGATATGTGTTTTACATATTTTGATGGCCATCATGTTGAATAGACTTACAAAACACGGCCTAAACAACAGTTAAAGAAAAGGTGTAGGGATTATCAATACTGTGCTAAAGCACATTTCTTTACTCAAGTTTTTTAAGACTCTGACCTCCAAGTTACATAAATATCCCTCAGATAGAGATGTGTTACGGCTGCCCTGTGTTTCTCCCTACATGTGTTACACTGAGGCGGGGGATTGGCTGGTCTTCGGCAAGTCTGGCTGATCCCGCCTCCCACATCTGACGATCCTGATTGGAGCGGCGCACCAACCCTTCTCCAATCTTAGGCTTTTTTTTTGGCCAGGGTTGAAATCCGATGTAGCCCGATTTTGCCGCAGTTGCCATGTATGTCAAATCGTAGGTAAGCCAAACCAGGCAATTCCCCCCGCGCCGTCCAATCCCAGTGATTGATGACCCGTTCGACCGAGTCCTAATTGACTGTGTAGGACCCTTACCTCGCACTAGGAGTGGTAACCAGTATTTGTTGACAGTGATGTGCGCTGCTACACAGATCCCTGAAGCCGTCCCCCTGCGCACTATTACCGCCTGTGTTATTGTTAAAGCACTGACTAAGTTCTCTGCTACCTTCGGGTTGTACCGCCAAGCAGTTCCTCTCTGCGTCACAGGCAGTGATGAAAGCCCGCTACAATCGTTCTACGGTGTCCCAACGTTTTCATGTCGGCGATAAGGTATTAACACTACTACCCGTTACAGGTTCGTCCCTTTCCGCTAGGTTTTCTGGACCTTATGAAGTCCGTGAGTGTCTAAGTGACACGGATTATGTGATTAGTACTCCCGAGAGGAGGAAGAAAACCCGGGTCTGTCATATAAATATGATGAAGCTATACCACGCTAGAGACAGTGATACAGTTCCGGTAAAGGGAAATAAGTCCACCTCGTCAACCGCTACGCCCAGCCCCGCTATTGCTGCGGTAATTGTTACAGAGCCTGCATCCGCGCCCGATCCTGATGACCTGCGGCCACGTCATCCGGAGCATCCGAGCGCACGGCTCCTCAACACCGAAGTCTTGCAAACTCTGCCGAGCCAGTTACAGCACTTGCCTGCTGCAGCCCAACAGGACGTAATACAGCTAGTTGACCAGTTCTTGTGTCTATTTAGTGACATCCCGACCAGAACTCATGTTATTGAGCATGATGTTGAGCTGACAGACCCCCGGCCCATAAAAGTTCACCCGTACCGTGCTAATCAAA